CACACACACACACACACACACACACACATACATACACACACACACACACACAAACACACACGCACGCACGCGCGCGCACACACACCACACACATACATACAGATTTAAAAAAAACCCCCACTAGTTAGAGGGGTGTGCCTGTAGTTCAGCGACCAGTCTTGAAATTCTCGGGGAAGTCTTGGATAAAGCAAGGCGCATATATATCATCAGCAACATCCAGCTTAATTTTGTTCCTTGCTTTTATCTTGAGTTGGACAAGGGTAGAAAATCCACTTTCGTAAATTTAAGTTGAGGCTATGGGACAATCGAAGGGCTGAGATTATGACTCCTAGATTGAACACCAAAACTATGCAAGAGATTTCTCCAGAAACGTGTCGTGTGCCGACGAATCATGTCTCAATTCCAAAAGCTCACCTTGAATGTCATCTGCAATGACAGTGATGTCTAGTCCAGGAGTGAAAGGGTTTCTCACAAAAGCTGCTTCACCGCAGTCAAGGTCAGGAAAATAGTTCTTGAACTCATCTTCGAGTGATTTCAAATGTGCAGCAATGTTAACTTGAAGATCAGCAGACAAGGTCGCCTCTGGATTTAACAGCTGCGAAAGGTTGGCAAACATAGCAATGTTTCCCTCTGTAACTTTCCGGTGCCAATTCTGAACTTTTGAAAGAAAGCCACCAAGAACGTCCTTAAACTGTAGAAAGTGTGTCTGCTGACCTGGAAGTTTCAATTGAGTTTGTTGCGGTAGATCTAGTCAAACATATCTTACATGTGTTGGGATCCACAAATCATTTGAGAAATGCCTGCGGAGCTCATCTTTTCCTTGAACTTCCAGGAATAATTTGATCTCCTCTCTCAGCTCGAGGACCCGACTTACATCTTTTCCTTTAAAAAATATAACCATCGAACTTGAGTGTAGAAAAGCAATGTTTCATGATCTGCACTCATGCCAGAACAGAGTTCCTTGAACAGTCGTGTATTTAGGGGGCTGCGTTTCACATAGTTGATAATGTTAACAGTCGATTTCAACGTTTCCTTCAAAGTGGGACTGAGAGCCTTGCAAGCTAGTGCATATATCTATGTATCATGCAGTGAATGCCTTTAGCGTGTGGTGCTTTGTCCTTCACTTTTGCCGGAAAGCCCGACTTCCATCATGGCTGGGGCACCATCAGTACAAATACCACACACATTCTTCCACTCAAGACCCTCGTTTAAAAAAAAATGAGGATACCTTTTTCATGACATCACCAGCTATTGTTGTGGTGTCCAGTGGGGTGCAGAATAAAAATTCTTCTTTCACATCTGTTTCAAAGATCAGTAACTGTGAGCACGATGCCACGTATCAACTGATTTGTCAAGCTGGAACGAGAACATGGGGGAAGCTTTGATCTCCTGTACAACCTGTTTATTCTTAATGTTTGAAGACATGCGTAAATACGCCTCTTGACAGTATCATTTGAAAGAGAAACTTGCTGCTATTTCTTTTCATTAGCCTCACCTAGCATCAGCTGCGCCATCTTTATTGTGCAAGGCTTTATAAGTGTATCTCCAATTGTGTGTGTGGTTTCTTTTGTTTTGCTATTTCCAAAGCAACCTAAAAATGAAGCCCCTAAGCTCGACACACTTTGTTGTTGAAATTGTCCTCTGAAGTCAAGTCTTCTTTTTTCAAGCTTGCTTCATGCCGATGAAAATATTCTTGATTACAATGCTTCCCCCCTGTGACCCCCTTCTCCGAAGACAGCACTCCTGTGGCTCGTCATAAACGAGATCTCATAATTGTGCTTGGCCTCTATGGCGAGGCTAAATTACACATTGAAACAAAAGAAAACTCTGCAAACCAATCAATTGATTGGCCTACATAAACAGGAATTGCAAACTGGTGTAGCCTTGTTGTTCTCTGGCCTTGTTTAGAAGTCCAGGTGTTTACACTTTTTCTTATTTCAGCCAATTGAAGAGGTGTTTTTTCTCTTATTTCAGTCAATTAAAGAGGGAACCGTATTTATGAAAGTTGTCAGGAAAAGAATAAGAGCCATGTTTTAGTTTTCAGAGGGTCATTTAAGCACAAAATCCTGAATGATCTCGCGATCCCCCAAGAATGGTTTGGCGACCCCCCC